AGTGGTAAACGAGCACACATCTGTTTAGCAACAATGCTAATTTCTTGTCTTCTTTGGAAACACGACACTTTGGTGCATTCCAGAACAGCATCCGCACCATCCATTTTCTTGTCACAGACTTGCATGGCCGCTGCGAAGGATTTGGCTGCACACTCGCTGTTAGTGTCAGCAGCTGTCAGGCAGCAAAAGCCACCTTTGACGCTTTTATTATAAGGCCTATACATTTCTGCAGATGGGCTGAGGAAGACAGTTTGAGATCTGTGGTGTGCTGTTCACTTGCACATATGGAAATATATCTTATTGTTCTGCACCACCAAGTGGCCAGATTGAGCAGATTTAGCAAGGCACCTTTTGATCCAGGTTTACTACATTAACACAGATGGGCTTGGTAGCTCTAAGTGTTTGGGTTCTGTAAACAAGAGGTCAATAATTCTGAATATCACTTGAAGTGGTTGTGTAGAAACAGAATGCATGTATCTGGTCTTTGCTGTTAGATTTCAATCAGTATATTTCAAAACTGTAAAAATAAAAGATGGCATTTCATCCAGAAAAAATGCATTGCACAACATACATGGGAGCTGTTTTCCCTTTCTTTTGCACCTTGTGTTTCTGGTGCTCTGGAAAGTTCAAAGTTGAACGTTTGAGAGGTACAAATCAGAGTGAGGTCTGTTGCAGGCCAATTTCACCAGTCCAAAATCTGCACACAACGGATCAGCAGACCCCAACTGACCGGAGCCACAGCCTCTTCCTGCCCAGCTCTTCACATGTGCCCACATCCCTAGGATCTGTGATGCCAAAAATTGCAGAAGATGACAAAAATGCTAATTTGGTTGTGCCTATACTATCCTAATCCATATATATTTTATACACCAGCCATATTTGGTAACATTACAACTCACATTTAATACACAATATTGATATAGTAACAGGGCAGGAGCAGTCCCTCATTCGGTTCCTGTGAATCTGTTAATGCATTGGAAGAGCTTTCTGCTCTTCCCAAATCCCTGTTAGGGAGGGAAAATAATCCTACACATCCTCTACTGTACACACCATACAGCGCCTTTTAGGTATGGAGTAGCAGTAACCTGTCTAAAGCAACCCAGCTTCATTCTCAAGACATATATTATCCTCATAAACCTTTAAAAAGAATGCACTCCCTCAGTATGTTACAGACTTTTGTATGCTTCATTTGACCTATAATTTTACTTCTAAAATTGACTCTAATTCACAGTGGATGGCCAGTTTAGTCATCACAGATTCCCCTGTTGACCTATATTCAGTATTTTATCAGTCTGTACTTTGGACCACTGTATTCAATGTGCAAGCTGAAATTTCAAACTTTTTTTTTTTTTTTTTTTAATAGACACAGCAAGTATTTAGCATAGGTGAAAGTGTAATACCAAACAAGAAGAGATTGATACATACACACGAACAGAAAGGGCAAGAATAATCTGAATTGCAGAGTTACCTGGCACAGTAACTATTTCAACTGAATTCTTTAACTGTTCCCTGGAAAATTTCATCAGACATAAGAAGGGAACCTTCAGAATCAGTTTGAATTTCATCCCTCGTTTTTTGGTATTTTTGTCTCAGTTTTGGAAAAGCAAATTTCTCTCTTCTTCCTTAGCACACTGAAGGAAATGGAAGCATTGCATTTTATAGTGTAAAAAAATATGACAAATGAGTCTATTTTTAAATAAAGAAGAATCTTCCACGTGAAGAAGGAAACCTCCAGATAGTCATATAATTGAAGGAAGGATTTTCAGCTTTGCTGAAATGCTGAAATGTCATTACACATACAGACATTTTAAAAAAAAAAAAAAGTATGATCAAGATGTCTTTAGACATACGCATGCAATAGGCTTTCATTCTGAATAAGGACGAAGAAAAATATGTTAATGAGCTCCATCACTGGCTGAGGACCCTAAACAATAATTTCATAAATAGTATAGTATTTCCTTAATGAATATTTTACTGAAATCTTGTTTTCAGAGTGTGGTCTCGCACATCCCTTACTGAAAGTCATTGTGACCTGGATTTCAGTGGGCCAAATGGATAGGTACTCGCTGGGACCTGGGGACCAAGTTCTGTGCTTCATGCCTTTGCGTACTTCACTGGAACCAGGCTTTTCACCTGCCTAGATACCTCAATCAGTCCTTTGGTTTCTCTCTCAGTGCTTAGGTCCCTAAATATTTCCCAATGCCAGCCTTATAACCATATTCAGCCAGCATTATTTCACCTGTGTCAGGGAATTCATAATTCCCTATCTCATGTGTCACTTTGACTCTGTGAATCAAGCCTCAGAGGCCATTAAAGAAAACCCTCTGGCTTAGGCATATTTGGGGTTGGACGTAGGCCATCCACATACGGCCTTAATGCTTATGTTTCTTTTGAAAGTGGAATTTTTTAAGTCCCTCGTAAGCCCCGAGGTCACAGTAGCAAGCATTGGTCCTGACCTGTGTGTGCTCCCTGATGACCGAGGAACTGAGAAGTGAAATTGGGATGGAAGTGCTCGAAAGGCTCAGAGCATTTTTATGTATGTGTCTTGCTGTTCATGGTGTAATGCATGGTGGTACAAGAGAAATCCAGCAGGGATAAAAGCAGATGTTTAAAAACTAAACACGAATGCCTGAAATGTAAGTGTAATTCTGATTATTTAAATAAGAGCAAATTAAGAAGGAAGAATAAAGAGGAAAGGCATTTGTCTGAAGTGCAGCAGTACCTAGAGACCTCTGCCATGATCAGAGTGACATTGTGCTGAGCACGCTACGAAGAATTAGTAAGAGAGAGCTTGTGCCAGGAGGTCTCGCACACCAAATAGGCAAATCAGTCAAATATGATAGTCTTCATTTTACAGATGATACTGGGAAACAGAAAGATGGAGTGACTTGTCTAGGAATTGATTCCAGATTTTTCCAGAGCTCTGCTGACACCTCCACTGAAAGGGGTACCAAGCTGGGGAAAGAAAGCACTATTACCACAGAGGAGTGGGAGCTCACAAACTGAGCCTTGTGGTGTCTTGTCAGCAGGACGTCACCAGACCACGGCCTGCAGTAGGGGTGGAAAATTACACTGCGAGTGTCTGCAGCCAGCTGGTTGCATTCAACCCATGGCAGCACTACTGCCGTGTGAGATGGTGATACTCAGGGTTAAGGATATACCAGTTTTAATCTCTCAAATGACAGTAGTTTTGAGGACAATAAATCCAATTTATTGGATTTATCCAGGACACCAATTTGTAAATGACCGTTTGCAAAAGTCATTTGACTCCAAAAAATACCAGGCTCTAGGAGTAGAGAATTGCTCTAAATTTAGATTGAAAGTCACGTCTTCCTTCCAAGGCAGCCACAGGAGGCCACCACCACTCACATACACTGGTAGAGACTATGGTGCCAGTAAACGCCACTGTCACAGGAGCTGGAACCTTTGAAGAACACCTCTAGTAGACCACGGGCACAATAATACAAAGTAACTTGGCAGATTCCTTCAAAGTATTCCTCCCTTTTTGTGCTATATGTTTATTTCCCTGTTGGGTCTCAGGAGACGGTGGACAGCTCTTCTCAAAACCTTACAGTGGGTTGGGCACACAGTGCTGGGTACTTCGCTCACCTTCTCTATTTCATCCGTAGGATACTTGTATGTCATTCCTGGGATTAGGAATTCTCCTCTGTTTGGAGGCAGTAAGAGTTTTGCCAGCAATTTCCAGCGCAATGAGGATTTCATCCTTTGTTCACTCTGTGCCGGCTGGGCTAACAATGTTCAATTAGAAACTGCTCTTTGTTCTAGTGCAATCAGGAGGATTTTTGCCAGTGATTTGAATGAGCGTTGGATAAGGCTTATGGCTAAATCCAGTCCTTATGCAGAAATCCATGGATCCTACTGAATTGCTTTTCTCCCAGTGAAATTAGTGGGAGCTGTACACTAACATCTAAGGAAGATTTAGTTCCTGTTTGTAACAATATGTTACCCCCTGATACTGGGCCTGCTTTGAAATGTTTATTGTTAAATCCGTGTATTTTTGGTTATATCTCATTAAGAACATAATACAGACTTGGAAAGTACATTCTGAAAGGGTATTACAACAGGATTGGGATTACTGTTTGTGAGATACTTTTAACTAGGGGGAAATTTCAAATTCAATTTACAGTAATGTCAAAGCACAATTAATATATAGGCAATGATAAGGGGAACATGCAGAAGTACACATTGATAGCACTACATCAACAAATAAACTTTCAGTGCTAGTAATTAGGTACACAAGATTATTATATGTTTAATTGACTAAAGTGACAATTTGGAATTACATCTAGTCACATTTAATTGGATTTGGAATCTCTAGAGGAATGGGAACGGAGAGCAGTGTAGAGAGGCAGCCATAAAAGCAAACTGATTTTCTGAAGTCTGTTAAGACTCTGCATTAATATCCATTGCACAATAGTTTTTAATATCCCTCAGTCTAGAAAAAGTAATGCAATGATTGCAACAGACAGTGGGAGTACTAAAGCATACTCAATTAGGTAGCAAGATAGCTGATTACTTTGGGTTTGGGGTTTTTCTTAAGATAAAGTTTAATCAGAGGTGAACTAAGTCTGAATTTGCCAGAGACACTGATATCCTCAGACTGCCAAGCTATGAGGTATTACACATGTTGATGCTATTGTACAAAAAAATGTACTCGCATATAAGACATTTCACTCACAAATACTTTAAGGAAAAAAATGAAAAGCCAGACTACAACATTGTTGAGCAGTCATTAAATAGTTGCTCAGACTAAAATATTGAAAAAAGATTTTAAAAGTGCAGGGTTGTTCGCTTGCAGATAGTTTAACTATCTGAAAATGCTTACTAATGATTGTTTTAAAGTTGGACAAAGTCTGAGAGTTATCTGTAATCTTTTGATACAAACTTCATGTTACAGTCTTTTAATGTTATCTCCTTTAAATATTGCTATATACATCCTTCTCTCCTTATACATTCATTTATTCTGCTTTTGTCATCAGGAGTGCCATGATTGCTGACTATATGTACTGGCTGACAGGAGGCACTGAACAGCATATAAGCAAGCTCATCAAACTGTATTGGCAGGTAAAAATTGATAGCCCAATGAGGAGGGAGGTGCCCATCTCACTATTAAGACCAAAATGAAGGATTACTGCTTAAAAGACTGCCGACAAAGGTAGCTCTTGGGCATATCAATCAACAGGACACTATATAGTACTACCGTATTTATAATGAAGTAGATTTTCTTGGACTAATTTTAAGGGCAAAATTCAAGGTTGTTAACCCTTGGCTCATACTTCAATTTTATGGACTGCTATAAAATTTAATTCTGGATACTGTATGGTCCCCAAAGCTATTTTTTTGTGAAGTCTTCCTACCTTAGTGACACTTTCCTTTTACAATTTGCATGATACTAATCCTCTGACACCTTTCCAAACTCTTCAACCGGAAGGGGAGGAAAAAATGACTGTAACAAATGGTCTCAGAGAAACCTAAAGTGCTCTGTGAAGGATAGCTAGGTACAACCCCAGTTCTACAAAGATTACTTATGTGGGGAGTAGACCATTGACTTCAATGAGACTTGTCTCTTGAGTGATACTTACTTGATATAGCAGTTCAGCCACATCAGCACAAATTTAAGTTTAAGGGTACCCCCCTCGGCTCTGAGGAGAGCTCTCACACACCTGGAGGTAAACGTACGCTAAATCCTCTGCTGTCTGTGCTGCAGGAGCTTGTCAGTGCCGATGGTGTCCCAGCCTTTGAGGCCTGCAGCAGTGGAAGACCAGTCAGCCTCACAGGGAGGACCTGGCCCGGCCTCATGGCAGTGTAGGCCCAGCCTCATGGCAGTGCGGGCAGGCACCCACAAAAACACACACAGTCCCAGACCAAGGCAATTCGTGGGCTGCCGGTAACTGTCTGGGGAGTTCTCTGTCCTCACAGCCCCACATGCCTCGCCTCAGAGACGTTTCAGCCCTGTACAACCTTCCTCCACCTCACCGTGGCTCTGCCCTCAAAGGTGGCTCTCGAGGCACGGTTTCACGGGCTGCCTTCTGTGACTGGGAGGAGGTCCTGTGCAAGTTACTTTGGTGACAGGGCAAAAACGGTTAATACCCCTTGGGATAAAATTTCAGAGTCTGATTCTGATTCCATTTATTTGGTGTTTATTCTGTGAGAACTTCTATGACAACAAAAGGGCTAGTCTTTGTTGTACTTTATGTGAAGTGGTGCAAAATACATCTGGCATAAGCCAGGGTAATAAAGATCAGAATCTGATCTTTTACCTTCAATCACATGGTAAATTCTTCCTTTTTAAAACTATTATTAGTTGCATTCTTATTGGTAAAATGGAATAAATCTCAGTCTTGGGAGCTGCTGAATTTCAGTACTGCTGTGAGTGCAAAGTGCATCTCATTCAGAGAATTACCCACTGGGCTAGTGTTTGCAGTGCCTGTGAACTTTCTTATATGCTTTCCAGCAGAGAATTTCTTCTGTACAGAACAGTTTGAATTTTTCCCCACTGGGTCAGACTCGTTTAAAATCTTGAGTTCACAAACAGGTTTTATGAAAGGGTCATTTCTTCGAATGGAATATCTTTTTTTGTCTCTTAACACTGGTATCCATTGACTCCTCTTCTTGATGTCATGGACATGAAGCTTCAAAGAACAAGCCTTTAAAGAAGAAGCTGTCATAGCTGTCCTCTCCCCCAGGGGTTCAGTCTGTCCTGCTAGGTAACAGGGCCAAAAAAATGGCATGAAGGGCAAGACTCATCACAGTGCCTCCTCGTAGAGTGTAAACCAGAAGCTGTGGTTGGGCTAAGATAGGAATGAACCAGACCAAAAGTGGGGCAACTGAATTGCTTCCAGCCATTAACAACATCTTACAGACAGCAAGGGCCAAAGGATTTTGGCAGTGATAGGGCTCTGGTTCATCTCTGCTTTAGTCCCCAGCTCACTGTTCATTTCTGATCCTGATGGAGACTTCATGCATGGGTTTCTCTGGACCACCATGATACCGAGAGGCACCACCACACTGCCTGTGCCCATGTTACCACTTCTCCACCTTTTGCCTGAACCTGAGCTGCTGTCATCTTTGGCTACAGAAGCTTTGAAATGTCAGTTGTGATCTAACCTTTTGTTTGATCTCCCACCATGCTTGATTTTCACAGGGAAACAGAGATTGCTCCACAATTTTGTGCCTTTTGTGCGTATGCTTTAGCGTGGGCTATGCTAAGGATTCAGCAATATCTATATGCTGACACACACGCAGTATAGGCAGCTGGGTGCCCAGTACCGCTCCCACTCAAGTTAATAGCTAGCACTTAAGAAACACTGTTCGTGAAGATATATCCCCAGCACCACTAGCAACCTTCTCCTTCCTGAGCTGATGAATTCTCTGCATTCAGTATCAGGGGTGACTTCAATGACATTAGTGCACACAGCAACAATTATGCAGTATGATATAGCACGTGACACTGCACTGGGACTTTCCACCACAGAGAGACCAAGCAGAGGTAACATAATCTTTTTTATTAATATTCTCTCTATTTCATGTTGTAAAGCTGAAAATAACTTGTCACGACTATACATGCTCATGTGCCTTTGTAACCAAAGCAACAGCTATTGATGCACGCTTTTCTTGCTAACTACTCCTCTGCCCCAGAGCTCACTCACATTAGCTCACAACTGTGAGCAAAATTTTTTGAGGAGGAAGGAAATAGATGGTGAACAGGACCATTTGTTTTTTACTTTTCCAAAGAAAGATTTTTAGAAGAGATTTGTCATTCTGTGCTTTGATCAGTTGGTCATATATATAATCTTCTGGTGTGTCATTGACTACTTTTGTTTCTTCATTATTTTTTTCATTGCTGGAAAAGGCTTTTCCTCCTCACAGTCTGCCTTCTACTTCTTTCACAGCTTCAAAACATCATACAGGCCACTCAAATCCTTCAACTGACTTCTTTTTTGGAAAAACTTCAGGCCCTTAATTCACATCTGTGAAGTTCTTTATTATTTATCCTACTTCTAAATCACTGTTTTTCTCTCTTGATCTATTTCTCATGCTCAGAGCAGTCTTTATCTTGTATCTCCTTTGGTTTACTTCTCCTGATTTTGGTTTTATACTTTCCTTTGAACTCCTTCTATCCCTGACATCAACCGCCAAGAGCCCTATTTCTTCAACACTCTTCTTAAAGAATCCCCAAATCTCTCCCCTCCTCATTATTAACTCTTACGCATTTCTTCTTCAGCAGTGATCTGTTCCCTGTGACTGTGTACCTCCTCTTAGACACACCACAAGGCTTGTACTGTCAGATTTTTAAGGCCAGATGGGCTCGTGCTGATGAATTATCTGACTTTCTGCATAAAAACGCCACAGAATTTTACCCAACCTTCATGCATCAGTGCCAAGAGAGGCAAAGCTGAGACTGTTTTTGAGAACATTATCAAATCCTCATTTAAATAGCTTAATAACAGAAGATTTACCACATCCCTTCTAAAAGGTGATGTATTACATGGATGGCCCCCATTTCTCCCTGTTTCTCCTCCCGAAACTGGGATCTTGTTCAGTCCACACTTCCAGCAATTTACATTACGCATTCATCTCTGAAAGCATAAAGATCCTCTAGCACTTGTTATCTGCTCCCTGTATATGTACCTATGGATCATGATCAAGGCAGCTTTAAATATTCTTTTTGATTAGCTTTTTGATTAGCTTTCTTTGATTATCCCCTTTAAAGTAAATCATCTATTTCTGGAGTTTCTGTACAGTGATATGTAATACCTAATGCCCTGTGTTGTTTTTGAATATTAATACTTGCCTTCCATTCTGCTCTGAGATAAAGGTATAATGCTGATGAGAGCTGAAAAACTAATTTGCAATGTATAATATTATTCAGTAAGCTAGACCTTTCCTCTGTTGAGTATCTTTTAAAATATTTCATTCTGTGGATGGAAAATATACATTCCAAGTTAACATATAATCAGGTGGATGGACTTTTGTTCACAACTCACTATGGAATATGCACTGGATGATTTGTGTATTGTCTCTTAGATTAAAAATACTGAATTAGAATAAATATTAGAATAAATAGAATTCATCGCATGAAATAATAATGTGAAAGTTATTAAATGTATTATGGTAGATATTTGCAGTGGTAGCAGCAAGACAAAGTTTAAACCTACTTATTATTATTGTCAGGCAAGCTTCCTATTTATTGTTGGCAGTGATATTTCTCAGCTGGAACAGCAAATCAAACAATAGACTGGAGATATTTCATTCCGTAGAAAGAGTCCATCTCCAAACTGTCCAGTTCTATTCACACCTTTGTTAACTATTTCCACTGGCTAAAAACTGTGTGATATCTCTCAGGTGTTTCATTCCACAAGTAAAGATAGATCACTGCATACTACAATGTCACCAAATGCCTAACATTGTCAGACAAACTTTGCAAACATATTGGAAGTCATAGACTGATTTCACCAATATCTGATGCAGACGTCTTAGGATAATGTGAATATATTGCACAGCTTATGTACATCTCAGACCAAACACACTAGCACACTACAAATGTAATTGCTTTTGTTATTCCATTGTGAAAACCGTGTGGCCCATTTTACACTGAAGGCTCATATCTTGCATTCGCTACGCCCTTACACCCAAAGTTATTCCCATCCACCCAGAGTCTTACACTAACTGCTGTTGCACCAGCAGTGCATATGCTGCAGAAACTACAGAACCTCTGACAGCATTTTAAGCTTCCAGGCTCGTGTCTGTACACCTCCATAACCATTTGTACTAAAAGCTTTAATTCCCTGACATAGCCTATGTGTATTCGCTACAGTGCAAATGGAGACCTTTAATTTGCATTGCAGTGAGCTGGGCTTTTAGCTTTAAAGATATCCAGGCCAACCCTAGCATTTCGGCCAAGATTGCAGCCATCATAGAGCTGCTCTTAGTACATTGACAAGACTGGACCTGTGCCTGCTGCGCAGGGTGCCAACAAACTTGTGTTCCTGAGAATATTTCTGTCAGTTAAACTCAATGTCACAGAGGAAGCTTCCGTGCAATGGCTGACATGGAGGTTTGGG